CCCCCCCCCCCCCCCCCCCTCTTTCCATCCATCTCTCCCTCTGAATTCTAATCAAAGTTAAACCTAGCTTTATTAGCATAGCCAGGCAGCAGGTGTGCTGCCAAATGACATTTCCAGAGCTAAATATGACATGACAGCCGCGTCTCTATAATAACCGGCTATATGAGAGACAAGGCGACAAGGCAAGGAATTACTGAGACAGAGTGTGCTCCCAGACTTGCTGCTGCTTCCTCTTTGACTAACAAGGCCTTACCCCTGTTTCCTTTTGGCTATTTTTGTTGAAATCTACATCATTCACTTCTTTCTTTTTCTCTCTCTCTCTCTCTCTCTCTCTCTGCCGAATGGCAGCGCATGACCATAGTTTTTGAGGAAAGCGAGGAGGAGCAGGAGAACAGTGTCGGGCTGCACCTTACGATTCATTTCAGTATTGATTTATCCGATGAATCATTCATTCAGTTTTGTGATGTGATCAAATTGCTTGTTTTAATCCTACGAACAGGCCGAAACCCACTGGTATTCAATTGGGTAATCTTTCAGACAAAACTGCAAAGCATTCTCTGGTGCCAGCCTCTAAAATGTGAGCTGCTTTTCTTTGTCTCGTGTGATAGTGAACTGGACATCTTTGAGTTTTAGGCTGTTGGTAGGACAAAACAAAACAAGGCAGATCGTGATGGGCATTTTTCACAATTTTCTAAGACCTTTTATAGACAACGTAATTAATCGGTGACACCCTAAGGCAGACAAATAGCCCCAGCCCTCACATTTTGAGATGCTTGAGCCAGAAAATGTTTGGAATTTCAGCCGTGATAAATAAACAGTTACTCAACGATTAAAAATGTTGAACACTGACTTATCGATTGTTTCAGCAGAACAATGTCGTAATGGCAGGCAGGAGGTTATCGGGGGACATGGAGACAATTGAAGGAGCAGGCTGGTACTAGGGTGGCAACAAAAGAAATCTCATTGTTAGCGTGACAGTAGCGTGACCTTCCTGACCTCTCGTAGGGGATCAGCAGGGCCCAATGCCCCATGGCTAAAGCCCTGTCCCCCCTGTGTTTCAACCCCAGCGGCTCTCCTTCTCACAACCTCTTACCTCTAAGCCGTGTGGAACAAGCTAAACCCTCCTGTGCTCTCTCAATCCTCCCCTGCCCTCCCCCCCCTCCCTTTGCCGAAAGAAGAAGGAAAAAAAAAGGCGAAAACCATATTATTAGCTCCACACACACCCATGTGGACTAGAACTGCCTCCCACCCCTGCTACCAGCTGTGGTGTAATTGTCATCTAATTGCACCTGCACTGCCAACTAATAATTAACTTTGGCATCTCATGGTTCGGCCGATACAAAAGAAATAACATGAAAGCAATTATTGGACTGAGAGGAGAATGAAAGCTCACCTGAAAAAGCTGAAGGAAGTCATTAACACTCAGTGCTGCTTTTCTGTTAGCATTTCTCCTCTCTGGAAAGTAAGAGTTGGAGCTTAAGGCTTTTTTTTTTTCTCCTCGCTATTTTTACAGATTTTTTTCTCTCTGCTAATAATGGGAAAGAAGAAATAAATAGAAAGAAAGAAGTCAGGCAGGGGTGAACAGATGGTAGTTTCGGAGTGGCACCTGGCCTTGTGTTTAATTTCAGGTGAGAGAGGCCGTCTCTAAGTGAGAGGGGGAGGAGGAGTGTCAAAAGCACATTGAGCCGAAATGAGAGAAAGATGGAGTTGGAAAAGGGAGGAGAGAAAAAAAGAGGCAGGAGCAATATACCAGATTCACTCCGAGAGGAAGTGTGGAAATGGAGGTGGGAGGTACTCGCGTTCAATCCTGTTTGGACATCTTGTACTCTTGTCCCCTCTGTTCACTTTATCTCTGCGCCGTCTCAGGTCGGTTCGTCTGGCTAAGTCAGCTGCTGTGAGGCTCAACAGAGACAATAACATCCAGATATGCCACGTTAAAAAGAAGCCATTTTACACCGCCACCCCAAACTTATATTTCAACAACTTCAAATAGATAACTGTTGAATGAGCTGAATGATTGAATCTCATTGCTATCTGCCATTAAAGGTCTTCAGACACAAAGGGATACAGCAACTATTTCCATCATTCCTTAATTAATTAAGCATCCAAGTCATTTTTCAAGACAAAATATCAAATATACACTGTTTCCAGCTTTTTAGGAGAAAATGTTTTCTGGTTTTCCTCTGTGATCGCACACTTAATGTATTTGGGTTTTGGACTGTTGTCCCCATGGACTTTTCTGGCATTTTTGGAGACGATTAATTGAGAAAATAACCAGTTGGTTGAACGAAAAGTTTGACATTTTGGGAATTTTGCTTATTTGCCTTCTGATACCACTCTCATGTATGTCCAGTAAATATGAAGCTGCAGCCTGTTGGCCTAGCATAGCATAAAGACTGGAAACAGGGAGAAACAGCTGGTCTGGTTCTGTCCAGATTTACCAAAATCCACCTACCACTACTTGCTAATCAACACATATCGTGTTTGTTTAACAGCCAGCCTAACTGTTTCCAGTCTTTATTCTAAGCTAAGCTAACATCCTTCAGCATCATATTTAGCATCTAGACATAGAAGTATTCTCCTAACTCTTGGCATGAAAGCCAATTAGCGCATTTCCCAAAATGTCAAAATTTTCATTTGATCGATAAGGAAAGGAATTGTCAGTTGCAGCCCTGAAGCTCATATCTGCATCAGTAGAGATACTCTAGACTACCCCTCATAACACACCGTCTTGAATTAATATTTGCAACAATGCCTCACAGTTCATTTTAAATGCAATAAGTATTTAATAGTGCCACTGTGCCCAAGTGAGAAAGTAGCTGCGCGGGTGTGTGTGTGTGTGTGTGTGTGTTTTGGTGTATATTTGCATGTGCAGCGGGGGAAGGGAGGGCAGGTGTTCGCACTAACGCGGTTTAATGAAGGGTGCGTGTGCTTTTGTGTGCGTGCATGCGCGGCTGTGTGTAAGTGTCTGTTTGTCTTTGTGTGCACGTGTTTCCATGGAGAGTACACATCCTAAGATATGGATGGATGGAAGTTGTTGGGTTTATTGTAGGCTGCTCTCAGGTTTCTTCATTCATTATCTACCGTGTGTGTGTGTGTGTGTGCGCGCGCGCGCGTATGTGTGTGTAGAATCTGAGCGACGAGGCCTTGTGTTTAAGCTGCCCATACGAGAGGATAGAGCCCTCTTTGAGTGGAACATCTGACTAAGCCTGACATTTACTCAGCCATAAGGACTCAGACGGAGCAGACAGAGGGGTTTTATCAATAGTCTGAAATAAATACATATGCTAAATATAGCTCAAGCTTTTCACGCAGGATACGAGATGGGAAGTTGTAGTGCCAGAACGTTGTGCCCTTAATGTCTGAGCAGACGTTCTGCTGTAGAGACACATGCGGGCCATGAACAGTTGCAGGGTGATGTTAACATTCACTTATTACATCTTTGCATTTTAGTCTCTTTTCTGCTAACCCTAACTAGGCAGAAACTGACATTTTTGCGCGCAACGAAGGCAAAAAATGACACAAAATAGATTTGTTTCACTGCGGCCCTTAAACATTATGATGTGAGCATGAGCATGTAAACCTGCTCACATGTCATTTCATGTATCTGACTATAAGCAGATAAAGCAAGGCCTCCATATGTAGCCGTGTCCTGATGTCAGTGAGTTGCGGCGATGGTGACGATGATGATAGCAATTAGCGCGGCCTCGGAGCAAATGTGTTCACTTGATGAATCTATCTGGAGTTGAGTGTGCATTCAGGCGTCGATTCATTTACATATGCATGCATATCAATGCGCGGCGGGGACGACGCAGGACAGGCGGCGCTGACTGACAAACAAAAAAAAAGGGCCTCTGTACGTCACTCTGGGGCGACTGTTATGATGAATGCAGATTGGATATATAAAGGTGGTAAATGGGTGTGAATTAGAGAGAAATTGGATAAATGAAGGGGTGGCAATAAGGGAGGGTGGGGGAGGGGGAGGAAGAGATGAATGAAAGTTTGAGATAATGAACAGTGGGTGGCAGTAAGGGTGGAGGGGGTTGGTGGTGCATTGAGGCAGTGTGTTTATCAGCTTAAATACAGACATCTGTTACTGAGAAATAGTGTGTTTTGGGGGGTTAGGGAGTGCGGTGGTATGGGAGCACACAAAAGTGGGAAGAGGCTGTTGTTTCAAAACTCATTAGTCTCTTTGAACTACATATACACTGGACTATGGTGGAGTTAAAAAAAAACAAAAAGAAAGTAGGACATGGACCCTATCTGTACCCCCCCCCCCCCCCACACACACACACACAGAAATGTGTCCTGCGATTCAGTTCTTTTCCCCTTCTGCTCCACTGAGTCGAGTCAAACAACACTTGACATGAATATTTAACAGTCAGAAGAGACAAAACAATTGAGAGTCAACTTGAGTGTTGTTAGAAATTTACTCTTTGATATTCAGTTTCTACACTTTGAAGGATTTTTGTTGGCTGTCTGACAAAAAAGGCTGAATGTCAGCTTCAATAGCTGTCATCTTCGCCTTGATACTGGACAGACTACTGAACCCTGTAGGGGAAGGAGACAGCACTGGGAAGCAGCTTTGACACCGAAGACTGGTTCATTGATTAAATATTATTGAACTGTACAGGCGTGGAGCTGTCAGTCTCTGTGTGTTTGATTGACTTAGCGACTGGCTGAATTTAGGAGAAAGTAGGCTTTCTCCCTGCTTTCTGTGCTTGCCCGCTCATGTGTGTGCGCATCTGTGTGTGCATCCACGTGCGGAATCATTAACAGACCGTATACTTGTGCATCCCTACTTTTCTTTTTTTTTTGTCCCTGCCTCTGTCGCTTTGTTCCAACTCTTTGTGCGAGCTCATAATCATCTGCGTCTCTTAATCTCCCCTTTTTTTTGTTTGTTCTTTTCGTTCTTTTTTTTTCCTGTGAATATACCAATTTCCACCTGTGCTTGTTCTTTTCCCCCGGGTGAATTCACAAGTGCGTCCCAGCGTAAGTGCATTTGCGGGGAGGTGGTGGATGGAGAAGCGAGGGAGCAAAAGCAGCAGAGACGGGAGAGGAAACAGAGCAGGGAGGGGAGGGGAGGGGGGGGGCTGGCAGGTTGATTACGGTCGCAGGTCCCGTTGCCTGGAGACGGCGGGGACGAGGGATGCCAGGTTGCTAGGCGACCGGTGCGATGCAATGACCAGCCCTGTGTGATGGAGCGGAGGGGAGGCAAAGACAGAAAATTGTCTTTGTGCCCCCCACCCCCCAAGCCCCACCCGACTACACCCCAACCCTCCACCTCCAACTCTGCCTCCCTGCTGTAAATGTTGTTGAAAAGCGGCGGAGATGGTCTCTGCTGATACATTTAACATTCAGAGTGGCTGCTTCTCAGGGCAGAATTCATGGATTGAAATTGGAGAGAAAACAGACGACAGAAATGTGTCACCCTCACGCAGCAGCAGCAGCCTGCTATATAGACTCAACAACACTGGCTGCGTTGAGCTAAGAGCGCAGAGATTATCATCTGCTCTGCGCGCATAATGGAGAAAAATATCATCATCGATATGCCTTACTCGCTCCGGCTGTAAACGGTCCTCTATCTAAAACACATTTAGGTTGTCGTGGTAGATGAAAATGGGATCCTCTCCTCGGTGCGTATGGACGTTGACGTTCTCAGGGCTTCATGCATGATTTGATTAAATGACCTATGGATTTAATATCTCATAATCCCAGGAAAATCCCCCGTGGCATCGCAGAGCGAACAGATTATGTGTCGATGTTGCTGTGAGCGACAGGAGCAGACAGAGCGAGTGTGTGTGTGTGTGTGTGTGTGTGTGTGTGTGTGTGTGTGTGTGTG